TTTGTCACCAGCCAGAAATGTACAAAAACATTGAATCTGTCTTGTTATGCTTTAAAAGTACACTTGTCCTTTTTTTTCCAATATCATCTTAATTTTCGTGGGAATTGTAAAAAGTCTGAAATGAGAAGACTCTTTAAGAGATGATCTATTTTTGAGGAGACAGAGGAATATTAACTTCATGTGCAATTTCAGCCCACACAGTTTACTAATAGCTATTTATGTTTTAAATTCTCTGACGAGTCAGAACTTTTCTTTTACATTAAATGAGCTCCAAAATGTGTGTACATAAAGTGACCTTTGTAATCTGTGTAATGTGTATGTGAGAAATGCAGCACTTAATTGCATTCTTAATGCCACCTGTACTATCTACCTGTGCCATCTGCTTTTAGAAATCACAACAGTACCTGTTCAATCAATGCACTTCTTTGAATTTGAAAAAATATAAGGCCAGACATAATATCGGCAATCAGTAAATAGAGGTACAGCCCTATGCAGGCTGACAAAAGACAGTCATTATGCTGCCATTGTTTTGAAGTGGTTGCAGGACACGTGCACAGGGAAACACACAGTATTCCAACAGGGGATGATGCATCCCAACACCTGCTTTTCATCCACAAATTAAAGACTGCTAATGGACCATACAGACTATTACTTTGTTCTGAAGCTATCTTTGTAAAAACAGGGAGGGTAAAAACACTTTCCCATCCCTGTTTTTACAATGTAGTAGAATATTTAACAAAAACTGTGTTGATTGCAATGGACAGGGGAGTTATCTTATCGCATACAATTGGCTAGAAAGTACTGGATGAAGTCATGGAGAAATATCTGTAAGAATGTACACTCTGTTGGACAAAATAGGTCATGACTCTTAGTTCAAAACTCATACAATGCAGGGTTGTTGTTTTTTTTCCCTATTCATTCACCGATGATAATAACCAAATCAAAGTCGACAATTTGTGTTTTGTTCATTGGGTAAAATCTTAGCAACTTGTAAAATGATATTTAATTCATTACTGAGTAATGAATTAAATATCTGAGGTTGATACAAAGTGTTGACGTCTGGCTCCAAAGCTGGTGTTGTGGGTTCAAAGAGATGGATGAACCCTGAAGGGGTTTTAGTCTTGAGGAATTAGCTGCAAAGATCCACAGCCTGTGAATGTGTCCACACCCACACCATGTCAGGTAAAAGGAATTGTGAGCCATATCATCAGTGAATAAATGATTAGACAAAGCTCTGATGGTCATTTCTGTCCAGATTTATTTATTTATTTATTTTAAATTAAAAATTACCTCTAAAAAGAGCCAGCCATCCAAGCTTTAAGGTAAATTGCAAAGGGTTTTTCCACCTTTTTCAAGTGTACAGGTGCAAACATTGATCGATTGTCAGTTATTTTTTTCTTGTAATGCCCTCACTAAAAACCCATTTTACATTCATAAATAGGTGCTTATCTTGAAATGTCACTGAAAGACTGAGGAGTCACTATGATTTAGCAAATTTATCAGAAAGCAAATCACAACATGGTAATGAAACTATGTGACCAGACTTACAAGGGCATGCAAGCAACCTGCAACCCAGCCTTGATAAATCATGCTTTTTTTAATCCAATCTTGTCATATGGTGCCCTCTTGTTTTGACATGCCACTTCCACATATGCCTGTGGTGTGCCAGGGAAACAGACATTTACATAAGGATATTAAATTGCATTAATCATTCAAGCAGAAGAATTGTTTGCTTTGATTTATGGTGAGCAGCTTTTAAGTTAAAGATGGTGGAAATTGTTCCATGAACAAACAATTCAATCACTCAGTGACATTTTCTTATAGAGGGCACAGGGATGAGAAACAGGAAACAGAGGGGGGGGGGGGGGGGGTACCCTGAGTAGTGGTGGTTGATTAATTAACCAGGCCTCAGGGGAAGCTTTGCATACTCTTCAACAATGCAGTGGAGGCTGCTGGTGCAAGAGAAAAGACTACCTCATTCCTCATTCATAGATATGGTCGGCCTCCTCCAAAGTCATATGGCTGTGGTCTAAAAATATTCTAGAGGTCATTTGCCTGGCTTATTACGATCAATATTTCTTTGCTACCTTCCCCTAACTAAGTTGCTCCCAGGTGGGATCCAGCTGCAAACAGAGAAGCTGTGCAGCACCAAGGGGTCCAGTAACTGCACAAGGTAGGTGTGCATGGGTCAGGTCTGTGCAGTAAATAACAGGAAACAGAATATTGATGGAGTTCATCACAAGTTTTTATGGGGATAGTCTGCTCAAGTTGAATCTGTTAGCTTGTACTGAAATGTTGGAGCAACCAGAAAGCAGAGATTCCCTCAAAATTAATAAAGTTTAATCCTGTCTTGAAATATCACAGGCCATTACAAGTGACAATGTGCTGTTTTTTTTTTTTAAGTTTATTTTTTATATTTTTATTATCATTATTTTGTTGTCATGTGTGTGATTAAATGTGATCATGTTCATCTTTACTGTAAGAGTCAAATCTGACTGGGAACTCAGAATGTGGTTGGTGTGAAGTCCAAACTTTAGTGGTTTATATACAGTATAATGTCCAGATGGTTTGGCTGTAAAAACTTCTCTGACTGCCCACTTTAAAAAGAGAACATGTTGTTGATGTACTGTAGATGCAATAACTTCTTGGTATCATTCCAGCTCCGTAAAAGACACATTATGAAAGCATCTGTGTCATGTGGACTGTCAGCAGGTTTAGAGGTCCCTCAGTAGCATCTCAGTGGTCAGTTTATTTCTGTGTACAGTTTTACCTTGAGCTCAACTCTGGTTTTACTGCAGTTCATAAATTGCACACTTGTGATGACCCTGTTCCTCAATGCAGTGTCAGATTTCCTTTTTCCTTCAACAGGTCTGGTGGGGCAATTGACTGTTCCATCATGTCTAATTCTGTCAAATGGCCCCTGTTGAATCTGTAATCAGTGATCCAACTGAGATGAATCAAAGTCCAGAGTAACACTCTCTTCCCACCATCAAGTGTTTATTATTTTCATGTCCAAAGCCACTTACTTGCAAAACGGTTTGACATCACTTATCTTTTGCTGTATGCTACCACTCCTAACGTATAGTACAACAAAGCTCCATGTGAGAAACTGAGGTCGCTGTTTTTTTTGTTTGTTTGTTTGTTTTTAGTTCATTTGTTTGCCTTTGTTGTTGTTGTTTTTTTTTGTTGTTGTTGTTTTTTTTGTACTTAAACCGATACACGCGTTTTGTTCTGTAGACACAACCTAATGTTATTTTAGGTCTGATTTGCTGCTCTTGTTGCTCACTGTTGACTCAGTACCAGGGTGAGTTTTCCAAATAGACTCAGAGAAATGATATACAGATATACACTACAGGCCAAAAGTTTGGAAGCAAAGCCATTACAGGCCGAACAGTTGGGAGAAACTTCAAGTTTTTGTTCACAAAGCTTTTTTTTAAATTCCAGCATGAGCTTTATGTATTTTGGGATGTATTTACTCCATGATCAGATGTTGCTTTCGTGGAAATGCACCATTTTACTCCATTTATCTTTAGATATACATTGATGTTAACAGACCATTGCTAAATATATGTCAGCAAAAGATAATAAGGGCTTAGTTTTAGGGTTGAAAACATTTGCAAGAGTCACAACCTCAGTGCAAAAACAAAAAAATAAATCACAGTTGGATTATTCACTTACACTTTTTTGCTTTTCAGAGTCTGCATACAAAAATCCTAATAAATCTTAACTGCGTTCAAACTACCGCAAAAATGGCTAGAAAGAAGCAACTGAGTAAAGAAACAAAAGTACAGATTTGTACATTTGAGGAAAGAAGGATCACAGAAAGATAAAATAGCAAAACACCTAAAGGTGTTTAACAAAGGAGTCCACTACACTCTGAAGAGACTAGAGGAACCTGGAAGTTGCGATGATAGAAAAAGACCTGGACGAAAGAGAGTTACTACAAATGCAGAGGATAAACATAGCATCGTCACCAGTAAGAGAGATCGAAAGACAGCACCACAAATAAGGGAGGAAATCAACATGACAAGGTCGAAACCCATATCTCTGACAACCGTGAAATGACATTTGAGAAAGGCTGGTCTGAAGGGTTGTGTATCTGCAACAAAAACACTTCTTCGTCCACAGAACACATATGTCTATAAAAGTTATCTATTATTTATATAAGACTTATAAAGCCTGATGGCTGTTGGTACAAAAGATCTTCTAAATCTTTCTGTCCTGCAGCAAAGAGAGAGGAGTCGTCCACCACCATTTGCCCTTTGGTCCATCAAGGTGTTGTGAAGTGGGTGATCCATGTTCTTAAGAATAGTCTTCACCTTCCTCAGTGTAGATCTCTCCACCACATCCTCCACTGAGTCCAGCTTGACAAACTGTGTTTCCTGTCAGGTCATCTGTGATCCAGGAAACACAGGCAGGATCCACTCCCATCTCTGTGAGCTTGTTTTTATATATGGTAGGTTGGATGGTGTTGAACGCACTTTGTAAGAGCCATTCACTGTGTAAGAGCGGTTCATTTATTCACCTGGTGAAGTACTCAATTGCGTCAGTGGGTGTCGCTGTTCTGTGGCACGACCACAGGTATTTAGGGAACATTGATTGATTTCACCTGTTGTTGGTTTGTTGATACCGGAAGGGCCAAACGGTTTTTGACCGACGCGGTGGCGGCTGTGAATTATCCTGTATGAATTGAAGAAAGATTATGTATTCGCTGTTTGCAAAATAAATATGGATTATCGTGCATCCCAGTCGAAACTACCTTTTTTGAACAAAGCTTACGGTAAGCCATCGGCGTGTCAGCCAGGTGTCCCGGGAGTCAATCAAACCACGTCAGTTTGGTGTTAGATCAAGCTGCAACATTAGTCAAAAACTGGGCCACTTTGGACTTGTTTGGAGAAACTCCTGGCACTTTTTTTGCCGTGTTACGGAGGCGACATGGACAAGGAAAGCTACCGGTAGCATACCGCAGCCTCGGTTAAAGTGAAGCGAAGAGCGTCTTTATGCTGCGGGAGGATCGGGAAGCTGCCAAGGTTTCATCTGCACTGGAGGAGCTCTACAGACGGCGGGAGGATCGGGAAGCTGTCATGGTCTCGGCTACGCTGGAGGACCTTCTGGAGGATGTCGTTGGATGGCTGGAGGTCGAGGAGCTGGCAGACCTCTGCAGACTGCCGTATCATCGGACCCGACACAGGAGCTAGGCTGCTAAGGAGCATCACACCCAGACACCGCACGGCGCCCAACGCATCTGCAGAGGTAAATGTAGCGCTACACTGTTTATGGCCATTCAAATGTGTGCACACATAAAGGGGCTAAATCCAATGCATTGGTTGGGCGACATGACTGAGCGTACTCTGCATTGACTCGACTCTTGCGCGATAAACTCGAGACTGATTGTGGCTCTAATTGACAATGGCGGATAAAGTGGCGTCGGACGTTGCGATGGGAACGGGTGACGCTAAAGCTAAGCTCGCTGCTAGAAAAGCTAGCAGTGTGGCTGGTAGTGGGGAAATACAAACCGGAAAACGGGTGGTTAAACTCACTGCAAAGGCACTTGCTGCTAAAGTAGAGAGTTTGCAAAATGAAAGAAAATCCAAACTAAATAAGGCCAGTGTCATCAGAAAAACAATTACAGATTTAATGTTGAGCAATGATAAAACAGAGGTACAAAATGCTCTTGATGAGTTGATGAAGGTTTGCAATGAAGCACTATTTCTGCATGATTCTGTGTTGGCTTTGTTGCCAGGTGATGAAAAGGTGAAGCATGTAACATGGTTTAAAGCAAAGATGTTGAATAATGATGATTCAATTGCTAATGCAAAAAAGTGGGTTTTGGATCATGAGGGTTTCACTGCACATGAAAGTGGTGATGTGAAGGATGATATTCATCCTAATGATAGTAATCGCCCAAGTCAAAGGAGCCATCGCAGTGGGAGGTCAAGCAGAACATCTGCACGCATAAAGGCTGAGGCTGATAGAGCAGCACTTCTTGCTCGTCAAGCAGCGTTAAAGGCTAAACATGCTTTAGAGGAGCAGCAAGAGCAGCTTAAAAGGAAAATGGAGGAACAGGAACTACAACTGAGGAGGAAGAAGGAGGAGCTTGATCTTGAAACTGAGCTTGCTGCATTTAATGCTAAGTTGGCAGTATTAGAGGCTTGCGACTGGAGCAGTACTTCTTCTGAACACTCAAATGGCATGAACTCATATTTTGAAAGGGAAAAGGGGAAAGTGGAACATATGACTGCCTTAAACCCTATGGCAAAGGAGTTCAAGTCTGCATGGAGGCCTCCAAAACAAAAGCACCAGCCAGAACTGTCATTATCACCTGACAAATCAGACCATATGGATGTGCCAAAGCACAAGATGCAAGGTGCTACCAGCTCCCATTGCTTTCCAAGTGTATCGGTGACATCAAAGCATATGCAACACCAGCCTACGACAGTTCAGCCAAGTGATGGATTCAGTCAACCTATCAACATTAAACAGAAATTCAGCCAAAATACTCCTGGAGATATTCTCAACCTCATGCACAGGCAAAATGAAATTACAGCCGCTCTGGTGCACCAACATAATTCTCGAACATTACCACCAAGAGATATTCCTATTTTTTAAGGAGATCCTTTCAAATTCAGAGCATTTGTCAAAGCTTTTGAACACGGTGTTGAAGGAAAAGCGAGTAAAGCAGATTGTCTCTTCTACCTGGAGCAGTTCACCAAAGGTCAACCACAAGAGCTGGTGCGTAGTTGTCAACATATGGATCCCGAGAGTGGCTATGAAGTGGCAAAAGGGCTTTTGCAGGAGCATTTCGGCAACCAGTATAAAATTGCAACGGCTTACATGGAGAAGGCATTGGCTTGGCAGTCAATTAAATCAGAGGAGGCGAAGGCTCTCCAAGCCTATTCCTTATTTTTGCGCGGTTGCTGCAATGCGATGGAGGAGCTACAGTACTTACAAGAGCTTGACATGCCAGTGAACATGAGAACCATTGTGTCCAAATTACCATTCAAGATGAGAGATCAATGGAGAGCCAAAGCTCACGACATTATGGAAAGGACAAGTGACAGAGCACACATCAAGGACCTAGTAATGTTTATCGAACGCCATGTCAGAATTCTTTCAGACCCCTTGTTTGGCAACATACAGGACCCTGGTTTGGTTGCAGCTGGACTGAAACCTCTATCCAGATTCAAAGCACAGCCCAGGGAAAGAAAAAAGGAGAGTGTGGCAGCCACCACAGTAACATCCATAAACATGCTCGAAAGAACTGAAGAGTCGAAAAAGATGGTGGAAACAGGATGTCTCTGTTGTGGACATGGACACACATTGGACGTGTGTAAGGAGCTCAATGCAAAGAAGCATAAGGAGAAAATCCAATTTCTGCGTGAAAAGGGAGTCTGTTTTGCATGTTTATGTGTGGGCCATGTAAGCCGTGACTGCAAGAAGCATCTGCTATGCAAAGTTTGTAGGCAAACTCACCCTACAGTGCTTCACATACAAAGACAAGCAGTTTTGGAAGAAGAAAAGGTAACGTCCAGCAAACAGCCTACTACAGTCACAACATGTGGGCATACAGGGGTTGGTAAGGACAAATGCGCCTTATCTATCCTGCCTGTAAAGGTGAAAGCTTCAAGGGGAAAGCATACTGAAACAACTTATGCATTCTTGGATCCGGGCAGCTCTGGTACCTTTTGTTCTGAACGTCTGATGAAGAAACTGAATGCTGCAGGTAAAAGAACTCGTTTCCGGCTACGCACAATGGGGCAGGAAACAATTGAAAATTGTTACTCCTTAAAAGGTTTGGAGATAGCTGGTCTTGACAGCAGTGATTTCTACATGCTTCCAGAAGTTCTTACACAAGAGGAGATGCCAGTGACTACTGATGACATAGTGAACCAGGAAGAGCTGGATAAGTGGCCATACTTGGCAAATGTTCATATCCCAAGCATTGAAGCAAACGTCGATCTGCTGATTGGAGCCAATGCTCCCAGACTACTGGAGCCATGGGAGGTTGTTAATAGCAGTAGGAATGGCCCATATGCTGTTAGAACGGTTCTTGGATGGTCTGTAAATGGTCCACTGAATGGAAACATCGGCACCATGGAGGCGGAGCTTCCCTCAATCATGGCTAACAGAATCGGCGTGCATAAGCTGGAGGAAATGCTGACCGCTCAGTACAACTATGACTTCAATGACAGGAAAATGGAGGATGAACAAATGTCAAGAGAGGATGTGAGGTTTATGGACATCATGGAAAATTCAGTGGAGCATGTGGATGGACACTACAGCATGAAAATGCCCTTCAGGAAAAAGCACCTTACTCTTCCTAATAATCTGTCTGTGGCAAAGCAAAGGATCTTGGGACTTAAGAGGAGGTTTGAGAAGGACGAGCAGTTCCATCAGGAGTACACAAGTTTCTTCACTGACATCACTGCTAAAGGCTATGCAGAAAGAATACCTCAGCACCTGGTTGACTGTGAAGAAGGAAGGGCTTGGTATATCCCTCATCATGGCATTCATCATCCCAGGAAGAATACTTTGCGGGTGGTATTCGACTGTGGAGCAACGTTTAAGGGGCGATCACTGAACAACGAGCTTCTGCAGGGTCCCAACCTTACAAGCAGTCTGCTTGGTGTGCTCACAAGGTTCAGACAGGAGCCTGTAGCTTTGATGGGAGACATACAGCAGATGTTCTATCAGGTCAAGGTTGCAGAAACAGACAAAACCTTCCTTCGTTTCATATGGTGGCCTGAGGGTGATCTGACTCAAGAAGTGGAAGAGTACTGGATGACTGTACACCTGTTCGGGGCTGTTTCATCGCCAAGCTGTGCTTGTTATGCACTCAGAAAGACAGCAGAGGACAGTCAGTCATTGTTCCCTGGTGATGTGGTTCAGACAATGAAGCAAAACTTCTATGTTGACGACTGCTTGAAAAGCACAGCCACTGAAGAAGAAGCCGTGCAGTTGATCAGAGCTCTTACAGCTGTCTGTCACAGAGGAGGGTTCAATCTGACAAAATGGGTCAGTAACAGTAGGAGGGTCCTGCGGACAGTCTCAGAGGAACACCGAGCTAAGGACATAAATGAGCTGGACTTGGACAGAGACAGCCTTCCCTTGGAGAAAGCCCTTGGTCTCCAGTGGTGCATTGAGAGTGATGTCTTCCAGTTCAGGATGTTGGGGAAACAAGGTCCTTATACCAGGCGTGGCATGCTGTCAGTGCTCAGTTCAGTCTACGACCCTTTGGGCTTTATTGCCCCTGTCACTTTGCCTGGCAAAGTTTTGCTGCAGGAGCTTTGCAGGAGAAAGTCTGGATGGGATGACAACTTACCCTGTGATATACTGCAGCAGTGGACGAGGTGGCTTGAAGAGCTAAGCAGGTTGTCAGAGTTCAAGGTCAAACGGTGTATCAAGCCAAATGAGTTTGGACAGCCCACACTGGTCCAGCTTCATCACTTTTCTGATGCAAGTGAGGGAGGGTATGGTACCGTTAGCTATGTGAGGCTGGAGAATAACAGGCATGAGGTCCATGTAGCATTCCTGCTTGGCAAGGCAAGAGTCACACCGCTAAAGCCTGTCACCATTCCACGGCTAGAACTTACTGCTGCTGTTCTCGCTGTTCGGATGGACAAAATGTTGAAAGCAGAGTTGCAGCTGCAGGTGGAAAATTCATTTTTCTGGACAGATAGCACCTCTGTGCTAAAGTACATAAGGAACGAAGACAAGCGGTTTCATACTTTCGTGACAAACAGGGTGACAGCCATCAGAGATGCTACAGACGTGTCACAATGGAAGTATGTGAACACTAAGGATAATCCAGCAGATGACGCATCTAGAGGCAGAAAAGTTGATGACCTTGTGACTGGCAGCAGGTGGATTGAAGGGCCTAGCTTTCTTTGGAAACCAGAAGAGTACTGGCCAGAAAGCATCATGGAGATTGGAATACCAGCAGATGATCCGGAGGTTAAGAGAGACTTTACTGTGAACACCGTGGTTGCTAAGGACGTCTCTAATGCTACTGATCAGTTAACTACCTATTTCTCTGATTGGAGAAAGCCCAAGGTCACAGTTGCTTGGTTCCTCAAGATAAAGGGGGCTCTCTTGAAGTTAAGCCAAAAGAGAAAGCAGCTGCAGACCTCTGATGCTGACCAACAACCCAGAAATGTGAAGGTGGAAATGAGGAAATTCAGAAGCACATTCGATTCGG